AAATAATCACTGCATCACAAGCTTCGTAAAGTGATGGATGCCACGAATGGCTCCCAAGCACGGAAGTGTAAGCTAAACGATCAAAATCTTTCCATCGTTCTTAAATTGTGCCACTGCGCATCAAGATTTCAGGCAGAGGCACCATATGCCATGAAGCCTAATTTGGATGAGCACTATGCTTAATGTTCTTTAATTGTACTGACCCACAGTATTCTTGTAATAGCAAAAAACAGTAAGCACAAATACCTATTTTCACTTGTCGAAGCTGAGGATTTCGACTGGTTACGAGACAGTTGCGGGCTGCGATGTCTCGGTGAACATGATGGATATTCTCGAGGTAACGGCAGCCAGAAGCAACATCAGTGGCAATGCTAAGCAGATCCTTGATACTCACTTGTGAAGGCATAGTCTGAAATGGTTCAGAAATAATCTTTTGCCACGGTACGATACACTTGCAAAACAAATGATTGGTACTAGAATTTAAAGAGGTAAATTTAGTTGTACTGAAAAATATACTTAGCAATTCAGTTTGACAGAAAAACAAATCAAATATGGGCTGGCACTCTAATAACAGTACGGTTTCAAATCCAGTGGAAATAAATATTCCTCTAAATCGCTAAAAGTCGTTGATTTGTGAACAACAGAGATAGCATGGTGCTCTCAGTGGTAATACCAGAATGGGCAAGAGGTAGGGCTATGCTGTATGAAGCGAGCAGCTGGTTGCAATGGTTGTAATTTATATTGACTCATCTGACAGCTATCGATCATGTGTCATAACACCACAAGACGTAAGTTCTGCTGTTGTTATTGTTGTGCCAAATGACAGGTTAGATCATATGATCGGATTATTGGGTTGAAACTGAAGTAAGAAAACAAAGTAACTTAAAGACTGGAAGAAATTAAGCGAACTAATTATCGAAGTCTACTTCATAGGAAATTTAGAAAAGTATTACTGAAACTTAAATACATGTATCCTATGTTCAGGAAAAATTAGTTTAACAGAAAAATATCCTCTAAATAAACTGGGAGGGCAATAACCAATGAGTCACAATGTCTGTATTATACTCAAAACCGCAATAAACAGCAATCTTCTTTGGGATTTCTGAATGAAGCATGCTGCGCAATCGCTACAATATAGGCTCAATCTTAATTTTTAAGCTTGAGCTTATGTTTAAGCCAACCTTAGGTTTAATCTTATGATTACGCTCAAGCTTCTGAAAGCCTGCCATAAATTTATAAACGATCGTCTAAAAGCATCATAATGGACGCAACCAACAATGAGGGATAGAACATAGATTTGTTAAGGTACATGAACTGAAACCATGACGGATTCCGATCCCATCAAGGACTATATAAAAAAGGAAACTGATTAATGTAACTACTTCAGACATACTAAAGTGACTGCAAGCTTCTAGTTAGAAACAATGAGAATTTACAACTGCTGTGGATGGTAGACGCCTCAGAAATGAAGAGCTTCCTAAGAGTGAGCTATACCAAATCTTGAGAGATACTCTATTCATGCTTTGTTAATCAACAACAAATTGAAAGCTGTTTACTTCCGTTGCTCGCACCGACCTCAGGTATTTCAAGAGGTCTCCAACTTCCATTAATTCCAGGATTAACCACTGAGGGTTTGTCTCCATGCATACTCCAAGAAGTTTGACAATATTTGGATGATTGAACTTGCTAAATAAATCACATGGTGAAACGGAAATTTAATGGTTAATATCGAATATCGAACCTCATACGCACGGCTTCGCGGAGAAACTTCAAACGGTCAGCGTCGGTGGAATCGCATCGCAAAGTTTTTACGGCGACTGGAACAGCCTTATCACCGGTACCGGGCAACTTGTAAGCCATTCCTTCATATACTTCGCCAAAGGCACCCTGGCCAAGCACTCGGATTGTTGCAATGCAATCGCGTGGTACATGAGGAAGTCCTGAAACAACAAAGTTTTTCAAATATGCTCGGTTAAGCAGGTAGTACCAGCAGACGGAAAGTTTTGCCCCACTCATTAAAAAAACTATATGCCCCCCCCCCCAACAGGCATATAAGTTTCCCTTACTATGCTACACGCATATTAGTCAAAATGCAACTACAGTTTACCATTCAGATATAGATAATAATGAGAAAAAAGACAGTATGAAGGATATTTCTGAAACTTTCTCCAAGCTTCTTACGTACATCACGAAATATTCATCAACTGAGAGCAAGTTAATGTTTTGTGAATCATAGGGCAATAGAATGCCATTATGTCGTATGACAAAGCGAATCAAATTTTCTCTCATATAAGGTGCTCGCTAAGTACTTGCTGCTGTTGATGTGATGTATATAAGGTAAGTTAATAACATTAAGTGAAAAAGGTTGAGATGTGAAGAAGCGACGCTGAAATCTGAGGTTGCTACATCCTTGTTGCAAGACCACAACGAAGATAATAGTTAAATTCGGCGTATACCCAACTGTATGAATCCGTGGCTAACGTCTGAGTGGAACGCTTCTCTGCCAGTGAAGGCATTAACCTGTAGTGCCACAAGTTCTATACGCGAGACACCTTTAGCTCAATC